ATCGCATCACGCCTCAGCACCTATGCAGTACAGTAAAATCACTGCATTCACCGCAATACGCGTGCAGAGGCGTCCTGTGATAAAGAAGTGCTGCAGCCGCACATGTAACATTAAAAGCCATTTTGCTGTAGTGTAATAATCGCGTGGCGTGGCTTATGCTTTCGTCATCGGTTTACAACGCAAATAACTCAAAAACCTGTGATCCGATTTTAAAATTCCAGTACTCTGAAAGAGCAAACTTTCTGAATCTGCTAAACAAAAGGACAGCCATACGGCTTGGGAATAAAATAATTGAAGCTGGCCCACTTGTGTCGTCCATTCACTATCCCCATTATAACCACTGGGTATTGAATGACGTTGACTCCACCCGGGATCCCTCGTACGAAAAGCGACGAACCATTGTGGAGGAGGGTAACCCGCTCCGCTCCAATGGCTCGTCCCTCCGGCAGAAGGACTCCGGACCTTGGAATACGACCATCACGCAGATCGCGCTAACCACGATCTCTACCTCGACGCTGCTTGCAGAAGCGCAATAGGCCTCTAGCACAGCTTAGCAGCCCGCGGTAAAACCACGATCTCTACCTGTACGGACAAAGGCACCAGTAGAGGCCCATTAGGCCTCCAGCCCGGAGAACTCCCTTCGGAACGGATGGATCGGGACATTAGGGCACATCGGTACCATTGCTCCGATCCAGAGGATCGGACTCATGGTACTGATGACCGGCATGACCATTCACCCGCGAACCGGACCTTGGTCACCTCACGGAACGTGCTAGGACATTAGGGAACGCTCGTATCCTTGCCCGACCTCGAAGAAGATCGAGTAATGATACGCGTGTCCGGCATGACTGCATGCTCGACGGAAGCCATGGAAAGACGCCAATAACTACGGCAGGTAGGCCCAATAGGCCTTTATCACGCCGATGAACCATCTTCCAGTAAACCCTGGAATGGATCGAACGTAAAGTGGCACGCCAGTGGTTCGGTGTAAAAACTCCACAACGTATTGCTTGCGGGCCACCTCGACGAGAAATTCCGGAGTAAAAGAAACGGAAGAAGCCCAATAGGCTCCTATTCCACCTCAGAACGATGGATTGAGACAGTAGGGCGCACCGGTACCGTTGCCCCAATCCAGGAGATAGGAGTCCCGGTATCGGTGCCCACCATGACCGTTCACCGCGAATCGGATGGTGGTCCCCGGAAGGAGGAGACCACGGATACCAGCTGAACTTGCTGGATTGCCCGGATAGGATCCAAAATGGACCTCCCGCGGAGAATCCCACGGTGTGAACCGGCCAGAACGGACGTGTTTCCCGATGACCAAGACAGGACGCTTCGATACCGGCATCCCGGGTGTTTCTGCCTAAGTAGAAGCACGGGATCGGCCGAGGGACGGACCAGAACGGACCCCGTCTTTACAACCTCAGAGTGCCTACCCAGCGGCTAAGACCCAATTAGGTCTAATATAGCCGCAGGGAAGCCTCTTCTTGCATGATTTTTGCTAGTCGCCCGGTGAAGATCCCCGGCATCGAGCTCGGACTCCCACCAGAGCATGTTGGGCCAGTTTTGGTCGGTTCCCAATAGGAACCCCCGACCAAACCAGCAGGGACCGGAATTGGACTCCCATGGCTTAGAGACCCATCTTTCCGTTGACAACTCGGAACACCCGAGGCCAACAGGGCTCGGATCCCGCCCAGAAGCCTAACATCCCGGCGGCAATCCTATCCTCAACGCCCAATAGGAGCAAGAGGGCAACTTAGAGGATTCCGCCCGGATGGATCTCCCATCAGATCGGCTTGGCTTGCCGTCAACTATGGCTTGGCTTGGCTTGCCTTCGGACTTGGAATCGCTAGCCGAGGCTGCCACTGGACTTTAATCCAGCAACCGGGGCTACCTTAGGATTCGACCCTTTGGACCCTGGATTTGACGTCAGAGTCCGGCATCAACCCTTCTAATGTTGGCCAATAGGCGACAGCTGACAATTACGGGGTTTTTGCCCGGACCGAACCCTCAACATACCCAGTAACCACGATTCTGCCATAGCAGCTGAAACTTCCATCGACCTTTAACTCTGAAACGGAGGCTGCAATTGGACTTTAACTTTTCCACCAAGGATGAACCCCGGATACCGAGGCTACCCTCGGTTTGGACCCTTGAAGCCCGACATAACCGGTCCAAGTTGCCCAAATAGGCGACGAGACGCGAAATTACGGGTTTTGTCCGGACGAAATCCTGGAATTCCGGTACTTTATACCGGAACATTCCCCATCGGAAGACCCAATAGGTCTTATTCCTAACCTAGAGAGGATGCCTCATGGCTTTCGCGGATCGCGACGGTGCCTCTCCATTCACCGACTCCATGAACCCGGGTAACGGAGGCTCCATTCAACTTTAACCGGAGGATACCCGGTCGGAATATGAGTTTCATGCCCGTTTCTCACCCGGCTTATGGAGATCCATGTCTCACCCCGAAGTCATTCGGTCGGAAGTGAGTTTCGCGCCCCTTTCTTACCCGACCTCGGTGAAGTGAACCGGTACCATCGGGTATCTCGGGAACTGATGCCTCGAACCCGGATGACCGGACATCCAGTGGACTGGAGCCCTCGTGTGCGGATTAGCTCTAGTCGGAATAAGCACCCGGACTAAAGTCCCGGACCAAAAATTTGTTTATTGTTTTAACTCGAAATGATGTTCTCATTTTCTTTAGATCTGTAGCAGATCTCTTTTATTAACCTGCTCACCAGGAATTGTGATGTTTTCTTACTTTAACGAGAGAGAGAGAGAGATAACACTATTTTTTACTTTTTTGCCGTTACGGACACCATCAACAGAAGCCTACACCGGTCCAACTACAACACCGACCGACCTTCGGATTTCTGCCGTGAGTTGTTCCGCCACGACGGGTCCGGAGGAGAACGCGGTGCCGGAGAGACCCACACCGGACACCCCGAGGCGATGCCACCGACCCCAATAGGGTCGTGTGCGGAGCGGGCACTGGGACGGTAGGGGGCCGGTCCTTCGCAGGGGCTCGGACTCCCGCCCAGAGGCACGTTGGGCCAGTCGCTATGGCAGCCTACGAGTATGGCAGGCAGCGACAGTCCCACTTCCGGTGCACGGTGCAGTGGTGCATATGATCGCACTCACTCCCGTACGCACGCACTCGCATAGCTCACGCCGAATCACTGGCCTCGACTCCGCCTAGCCACACCTACGGCTTTACGTCTCGGCCAATCAGCGTTCGCCATCGCTCGTGTTGGATCTGCCCAGTGACGCATTAGGCTTTTCCTCTTCACGGCTCGATGTGCCGTTCATTAGCATTCATTACGCTGTGCTGTACACTAGCAAATCATTCACTGTACCGTTATGATAATGGCCACATTGAGCCTTCATGTGCTTTGTGTTTTGGTTCCCCTATTTTTCCGCATTACCTGCCAGGTTGATATATGGATTAGCAACCTCAAGAGGTTACCACATGGCGTAACCATTGTCCTTATGGCCAAGCAATCTAGCACTGACTTCCAGTAGTATCGTTTGTTTATGCAGGCACTTGCGCTACATAGTCGGTGTGCAATGCAGGCCTAGATCTACGTGAGGTGCCTGCTGCTATATCTACCGGAAATACGAAGGAAAACACACGGGAAGACGTAAAAATCCTCTTTACTCTTCCCAATACCCAAAATCACCAAAGATCACTATAACAAAGCTCATACTATGACACAGGGATGTGGCTGACAAGCTGACATAAAACACACTGCGAGCTGTGCAAATGATCCGTTGATCATCTGCATATCACTGATACGCTGGCTCTGAACCGGATGTACGTGTGCACTCGGTAAGCACTCGTACATCCACTGCTGAATATACCTGCAATATGGCTGCATACACTGGCAAGTACATACAAAATACGTATCACTGGGCGATCCTCCGCAAGGCGGTACGAGACGTCTATAGCCTGACCACCTCCACGAAGTCTCTCTCAGGTGCTACGTAGCGAGCTACGTAGCAGTAGTCAACCAGCATAAACTCGTTTTGTGGAACTACTTGCTACCAAAGTGGCTACAAGAGACCAAGGCCTGCGAAATTGGTAGCAAGTAGCAAGTAGTCAGGTTCGATAAACAGCCTCTAAGATGCTCCCTCGAAGATATGACGAGATCATCACGACTGATCGAATCCTGCTGGAGGGTTGGGATGCGTGTTATTCACACAATTCGATTCATGTTACGCACTTAGCGTCTTGCTCCGTGACAGCGCTTAAATATCCAATCTAACACCAAATCCATTGGATGTTGCCGCTTTTCAGTGCCTAAGCGCAAGTCCAAGCACGAAAATTATATCAAAAATTTTGGTTTTTTCAAAAGGAGGGCGTAAAAAGCAAAGCGCAGAACATATCGGTCATGATAACAGATTACTGTTTCAGTTTTCTGTTACTATATTAAAATTTTTATATGAATACGAATTTACGATACAGATTGACATTGTTAATTCTCTTCTTCATTCATTTGATAACCGAGAAGTGTTCTAAGTTAACTACATTAGCAGTATGAAATACTGTGTGAATTTTAAAAGATACCCTTTATGCCTGGATCAGCTTACGGAATTCCTTTCGTCCATGCGAAATTTTATTTGGGCCACCTTAAAAATGAATTTGCTTTTAGCAAATTTTCTGTACGTTACACTTTCAAACCTCGCAACGGAATATCATTGCAAAACTGATTTTGTTCGAAATAAAAAGTCAGGGATCGTTTTCCTCCTACCAAAACATGCTTATAAGCAATTCTAAAGTATCTGTGAATTATTACTTCCACTTGTCTATGCCTCTCGACAACACTACCATGAGCACTTGGATTTAGACAATGGTTAAAACTAACATCAGCATTCGGGTTTCTACAATACTTTGGGTACAACTAATGTGTGCACTCGGGTTAAGACTGCGGTTAAGGTTCAAAACGGCTCCCAGTGGAAATTCATTATGGGCTTTATAACTCATTGTAAGAATAAAGTCTCCTCTATCAGAATATGCCGCTCTCATGTATGTAAAAAAATTTGTTGCGTTAAAAAAACAATTTTCCGTTATGAGTGCCGAAGGGGGAAGCGCTGTTCAACAGAGAAAAAGCGGCTAGCGCTGCTTTTAGACTCCGGCATCTATCCGGCCAGCCCTTCCGCTGAAACTCCCGTTTGAGTCCGGACCACCAGACAAAGTTCTGCGGGTCCTGAATAATGACGTCAATCTGGGCCCATCGATCTCTTGGATGTGGGATGGCCCCCATGATGTAATCGATGAGGACATGGCTGGATATTTATGCCCTGGTTGGGGGCGTATTCATATGCGTCGAAGTCTGTCGCCCTGGTGCTTGTGTCACGTCGGACCGGTGGGTCCGATGACGGTGGATCGGTATCCATTTCCATGGTGACATTCCGTTCAGGCCTCTTATTGGTGCGTTGGACAACCAGGCTCGAGTCTTCCTCGTTCCGCTTACAGGGTGAGATCCGCGTATGGTGCGATCGCTCCTGAGGATGCCCGCGATTCTGGCTGCCAGTCTGGTCCTGGTGTCGATTGTCAATGTAGGGGCGTAAGTTTCTGGCGGGCGCGATGGCGGTGCCGGTGGCGCTTACTGTTGAGTACGCGTCGGTTCATATTGGTCTTTTTAGGGCATCCAGCAGGCCGCCTTCTTCCTTCCGTTGCTTGACCACTTGGTCGACGACGGTTTTGTTAAAGTTGCTCATTAGCTGATCATATGTAATGCGTGTCTGAAACCCGTGGGGCTAAGATCGCGACTGTGGCTGCTGGTGCGACTGCTGTCCAAAGATTTTCGGGGCAGCCGATAGGCAGCGCCCTGTACTGGTCGACACCCGTGTTACGGGGTCGACCGTTGCGTTCATGGTCACGCTGTGCCTTCCGCTCTCGTGCCGTTTGAGTGAGGGGAGGCAACATCTTGTCGCCGCTGCTCCAACCTGGTCCTAAGGCGCCGCAACGTTCCAGGTAAAGATCGAAGATTTCGATCTGTTCGCTGTCCCTCAGTAATGAGAACAGGTGGTGTCCGTGAGTGGTTATGTAGCTCTAGGCTTCGAAGTTTCCTCTAACCACTTCTTGGTAGAAGGCGTACGCCATTTCGCTATCGTTGCGGAAGCCGGGCCTCAAGTGGTAGGCACAGGGGAAACTTCTCGTTGAGAGTTGTCCCTCCGGTTCGACTGGTCCGTACTGTTGGTTTTGCAGTCCCGCAACCAGGGTCATGCTTCTGCCGTGGAGTAAGTCCCATTCTCTGTGGTAACAGAAATAAGACATGCAGAATAAAGTTCGCTTCTCGAACTAAAGTGAAGTCTACTTCTAGATCAAGTCCCTATGATAATTACACCCTATGATTTTACGTACCCATGAAATTTTACATGTTATTTGTTAACTTGGCTTTTCTTGCCCGGTGAATTATTTCGGGATTACTCCCTAGAACCTATGCAACTTCTATGCCTAGGTTACTGATGGTACTTCCGATTCTGCATCTTCTTGGTAGAAGCCAGGGCGGCGGTGGGACGAGGCCCATAACGGTCCGGTTGGTCACGTCGCATCCTGTATCGCTGCTGGGCCTCTGGGGCATCAACGGTCTGTTCGAACCAACCTTCGAGCATCTTCTTGACGACGTGCCTCACATCTTCTCCGATGGGGTACCAGCCCGTGGTGCGGCCCTGACCGGAGACATACTGTGTTCCATCGACCAGCTGTAAGTGGTGTGCCAAGGCTGCCAGCTGATATCGTCCCAAGGGCTGGTTGGCCATTTCGCCTCGTGTCAGGCCGAGGGGGTGGGCACCGTCAGGATAGCGTTGCGCCATTCCCAATAGCCTTGAGGGGCCGTTTCGCACCTTTCCGGTGGGAAAGTGTAAAAGATGTCGCCGTTAGGCGTATGAGTCCTTAGGATGACACTCTCTTTATAGCCTATTTGGATCTACAACATCACTTTGAACTTCGATAGCCATGGACCATGCCATTTCTCGATGAGCTGGTAGGCTGTTCCCAGTGGCATAAGTTGTGCCCGTGTGGGACAACGCCTGTGGAGCGGCCCTAACGTACGCCTATTCTTTGTCATTGCCGGAGATCTTCATCCGTTGGGAATGAGCTCCGCTTGGGTACTTCCTGACCACTCTTGAGGTTGGTGGCGAAACATAGTCCATGCGCGGCTTCCCGGGCAAGGCTCGGGCAGGGTATGGCGTATCTCACCAGAGTCCGACTTAGGTGAGTACATATCACTCACGTTGGCCAGGTCGGGCTGCGGTCCGCTCTGCTCACCTGTCACGTTGGCCTGGGCTGTTCACACAGCAACAGGTTAACGTTCGAGAGACAAATGCTGCTCTGCCGTTCGGCGCAGACTCAAACTCTGACTCTGATTCTGACTACTCAAAGTCTGACTCTGAGTCTGAGGGTTTTTCCTAGGTTTTTTAGGTTTCTTAGGTTTCTTAGGTTTTCTTTAGGTTTCTTAGGTTTTTCTTATGTCTCTTAGGTTTCTTAGGTTTCATAGGTTTCTTAGGGGCTTTTTTAGGCTTCATATGTTTCATAGGTTTCTTAGGTTTCTTAGGTTTTCCTTATGTCTCTTAGGTTTTTCTTAGGTTTCATAGGTTTCGTAGGTTTTCCTTATGTCTCTTAGGTTTCTTAGGATTTTCTTGGGTTGGGACAGTCAGAGTCAGAGTTTGAGTGGTCAGAGTCAGAGTTTGATCGGTCAGAGTCAGAGTTTAAGCAGTCAGAGTCAGAGCTTGAGCGGTCAGAGTCAGAGCTTGAGCGTGGGCCCTGTCGTTCGACGTCTAGGTCAGACGTTGATCGTTGAATGCGGAAATTCAGAGATCCTGACTTTAAAAAGGTCAGAATAATGCGGAAAACTGATCTTCCTAATGCTAAAATACAGTCTATAAAAACTGTATTTTAATGCTGAATTATGCGCGTTTACTAACTTTAGGAAACTGCTGTGAATGTAGTTTGATAAAATGCTGTGACTCTGAATACTGCGATATGAATGCTGTTTACAATGCTGCTGTCCATTACTTCCACTTAATTTTCAAAGCGAAAACCAAAAAGAAAAAGGAAAACTGCAGTTGCAAGGTGAAAGTTTTCAAAACAGTTAATCAGCTTTGCTGGCAACTGACTGCTTCAAATTTCCACAATCCTTGCGGCATGGAGTTTCGAGAACCGTGTCTCACCGCAACACCTCTCTCCACAATCCGACTGCACGGGTTTCGGGTTACCGTGTCTCATCGCTCTGTAATCCACGAAAACCGAAACTCTGCAACTAGGCTCCAAATAGTGCTGTCAGTTAATCCCAGTATTAAAAGGGCAATGCTTCACGACAATACTGCTTCAAAGAATTGGCGTCCACCACGCCAAGTTCCGACGAAGATGAGATATTGCTTCAAAATATGAAATTATGCTCAGATTTGGCGGATCTTGGGAGTTGGGACTCTGCTACCATAATAGCCATGCCACGGAGCAGGCTACGAAGAAGAACGATTTTCTATGAAAATCTACGAGAGAAACACCGTCCAACTTCCGCTACGCTTTTATTAGTCAAAACCAGTAAATCATAAGACATTCCCGAGTTGTGCGATCATAACTTCTCAACTAAAGTTGTCTGACAAAACATCCAGCGGATCAGAAGTTCCAAGCTCAGTGTTATCGCAACAGTGTAATGCTGATCGTCTGTGTACTGCGTTTACCTGTCTTGGCTATCGAGCCAAGTGCTGAACACAGTTAATGCGGTGCAACAGGTAATGATAAGACGTACGTGTACGTGCATATGCACGGGAGATGGTGACGTACTAGCGTCATCCCCAACATCGGCGATTTTTGTCTTCTTCTTTCGTTGTATTTCTTTCTCAAAACTAATTTTGATGAGAAATATACAAACTTAGGACGATGGGGCATTATCTGTTATGGGACGTAAAGTTCCCTCAGATTGCTGCGAAACTGTCAAAGAAGCGTGTTAGCTGTTGAGAATGATGGGGTTGTCGGTTTAGCAGTGGTGGGTTCTTACTGGTTAACTTTTCCCGTAGACTTTGAAAGCTTTGAAAGTTTTTGAAAGCTTTCTCTCAAAGGTATCTTTTCCTTGAAAAACTCATTGTGATGGCTAATCTACACATTAGGGGCTATAGAATAATGCATAGTCATGGCAGTTTGGATCCGTGCGGCGAGCTGACGGATTCAACAAAGAATAAGGCTTACGCGATTATTATACAGAGATTATCGTTTTAATATTGTAATTATTGATAATTATTATGGAATTACTGATTTGCAAATTTTATTGTAATACGATGAACTACTACAGTACTGTAGAGTAACCCTGCACTTGACAGCTTTTTTTACAGCTCACCAGTTAAGTAGAAATCAGCGCATATTCACAAAAATATGACAAGTACATTACCTAATAGAATAAAATGTGCAGAATTTTAATAAATTTTTTATTTTCCGGTGAGTTTTGCTACTTTTGTGTAATAATCATCTAAAGTAAGTATGGAAGAACTTTCGGTGACGTCTACGCGCGCACAATAAAGATGCCGCTCATCGCGCACCTGAGATACGGATCTTTTCTAATTCGGATCGCGGATATGCTGCATCGCATGGTTATCAGTTGGCAGATCATATCCGCGGTTTCAGTGCGAGACTGCGAGCTGAAGTGAAGTCAGCTGCATCTTTCGAGCACTGAACGGCGCAATTTTGTTTCTGGTTCTACGATCCAGAAAAATTGATGTTCAAAGAATTCTAAGTTTAAAAATTATGAAAATAATAGTACTGTAATGTATCGGCGCCCTATGTAAAACGAAATTTAGAGCGAATAAAAATTATTCTTTTATCGCCAACGCAGCTGTCGTACAGGCAGGCCAGCGCTCAAGATCGGAGTGAAGATCGGTATCTCACAATGTCAGATGCGCGTGGGCGGCATCTTTGATGTGCGCGCGTAGACGTCACCGAACGTTCTCCCATACTTACTTTAGATAATTATTACACAAGAGTAGTAAAACTCACCGGAAAATAAAAAATTTATTAAAATTCTGCACATTTTATTCTATTAGGTGATGTAAGTGTCATATTTTGGTGAATATGCGCTGATTTCAACTTTACTGGTGAGCCAGCTGAACGTTTGCCAGTACTACAGTGCCGTACAGCTCATATCATACGAAAAAGCTGTCAAGTGCAGCGTTACTCTACAGTCTACAGTACTACTAGAAACCGTCCGTAAGTCGAAAATATAAATAGTTTGGAATGGAATGACGACAATTTGTTTTATGGAATCCGTCCGCTTAAAGTGTTTTATATAGTAAGACTGGCAAAAATCCTTATCCCTTTTTCTAACCGTCGAAAATCCCTAACCTTCTGTCTAACCGGCGATATCCCTTTTCCCAATGTCTAACCAGCCAAAATTTCCCTCCCCTTTGTGACTCATCGTTCTACAGACATCGTTCGTTCTACATCGTTCTGTACAATATTTTCCAAATCAGTGTTCCTGGCCCATATTAGTAATGACATGCTATACGGAAGTCGCACCGACTACCGTACTCGATGACCAACCATACACAGTCGGTACAGTGGGAATACACTCTGGAGTCTGGACTCCGATGAATGGTCGTACACAAACAAACTACTTCCGCTAGGTATTGCGGATGTGCCTACCGAAAGCTACCGAAACCCAAACACTCAGGAACTTCCCAAATGTTTAATCAACAGAACAGAACGCACTTCTACCAGAAGGTCACACCAACATTCTAGTAAAAGCTAACTTCACAGTCTTCAGACTCTTCTAACTCGTCAAGCCAAAGACTCGAACACGCTGAAACATGCAACGAGAATCGCTAATGGAGTTGGTGATCAAATGCGTTAGATAAGAACAGCAATCGTACGTAACAGAACAGATAATGTACGTCACAGCACGTACGTACGTAATACACGCTTTCTACGCATAGCGTGTTAGTAATCTTATAACGCATGTTGTTAGTCAGCGGCTTTCGTTCGAAAAGTCTCGCATTTCCGCCAATCTTCTGTTAATTTCTAATGATAAGCCGATCGGATAAATAATAAATTCGATCTGGACGTCGATCAGTAAATCGGAGGTCGAAAAATCGAAAAACGAAAGCCAGTGAGACCAACTATTGTACCCGCTAAACGAACTTGCACCACTTTCAGATCCGGCCGTTGCCTGCACCCGCCACCTGTAACTAACTTTTTCGGATTCAGGAATAAAAGTTACGTAAAACCTTTAAAAAAATAGGTCAATAGGGTAGGCCCGCAAAAACGGCATATTGTCTACTCATTACAGTATGTGCAATGGAATGTGGAATTGGAAAATTAAAAGTTGAAAACAATTTTGAAGTCGAACATCCGGGTTGGCAAAATCGTAGTCGATGTTTTCCAAAACCACGATTCCAAATCGACGTTTTCCAAAACCACGATTCCAAATCGATGTTGAAGACGCACTAGTAATTCGTGATAAGCGGTAGAGGGGCGGTGCCGCTGGAAACAGATTCATTGGCTGTATGAGTAGTCTAACGAACAGAGAATTCAGCATAGCGCTAACAGGACAAACTGCAGGAGCGCAGTATAAGAGAATCTATAATACCGAATTTCATGGTGCAAACTGCAAAGCGCTGGCGGCACGCTTGTAGAACACATTTTTCTGTACATTTTCGTTATGGTCTTGGTTTGCTAACAGATCTGGTTTACCTGATTTTCTGGTTTAACGCGCTGGAACGTGGCTGAAGGCTTGGGTGTGGCGAAAGTGCGGCAATTTACAGTGAACTGTGCAATAGCGCTTACCTGGTAACCGTGGCTTAAGCCAAACCAACCCAGTATCATAAAATCTGAAGCGTTGTAGTTAACTCGACGCTAGCTAGCGTTTGGCGAATATTTCACGAAACTTTTGTATTGAACACCTAGTACGCCATCATTGGATTATAAAAGAAATGCCCTACGAGTACATTTTGATGCAAAAAAATCAATATCTTGGCAATGCGCACATTGCGCAGCGTACCAGCACGCTACTTGTTAGCACATGTAAGGTACGTAGTGCGTGGATTGCATGCGGTGGGGTAGAGGGCGATGGCTTAAACCAGAAAATTAGCTGGATTTTCTGGCTGTTTCGAACACCTGCTTAAGTACAATAATTTGTTAGCGACAGAAACAGCGACTTCCGGAAGCTGGCTGGTTTTCACAAACTGCCGTCCTTGTCCGGTTACGCTGGCACATACCGTCAATAAAGGGATCTATTTTGAGCTTATGCTCCGCCCACCGAATCGAGATGGCTGACCAGTGAGACAATCTTATTTTTACATGCGCCGAAGGTGTTTTCGGGTTCTCTTTTGTTTCTTACGGTTAGGCTTGGACGTCTTGGTGCAACCCGAGTTGTGTACTAATTAATGCTTGCTCTAGCCTCTATTTATAAAATAGTTTTGTGTTTTTATACGATGAGGCGTACAGTAGTTATCCCTTGTTTCATTATCAACACTACGGGGCGGACAGGTAATTCGACTGCGCCTTGATTTGAACTGAATTGAACTGCAGTTTTTTCTCAAGTGTTGATTGGTTAAAATGACCCAATCAAATGAGTGTGGGCTAAGCCAGATCTATCTATTGGAAACTCCATAGACAAAATCTGAGCTCCTGTCGCTCTGTCCAAAACTTGTTTTAACGGAATTCTATGCATCCATGCTTTGAATTTGTGACACGTTCCGTTTCTTCTGGGTCCCTGATATCCTGACATCCCTATCTACACGGATCTCAAGGTTTTATCTGCTTCAGTCTGTCTGCACCCCGCCAGCCATAGACCATGGTGGTCCTCACGGAATCGTCTATCTTGGCTCGTTCGCGGGTGCAGGAACTGTCCCAGTGCATTAAACTCAACGTATGGTAAGGGTAAGGCAGCTCTCCTGTCGATTGCTCCCTCCGGTCATTCCTGGTCCGGGAGACGTTGGCCGTTGGCGTAACGACCAACGTATCCTTGATAAGTTTTTGCTTTCCTCACACTGTTTGCTGGCTACGAACTTACGGTGTTGTACACAGTACACTTGTACATAACTTGCCGTATTCAGTATTGTTTACTTTACAAGTGCTTTTTCCTTTAATTGAGTGTGCCCATGCTTTTATATTCGGATATTTGTTAGGCTGGAGTGTTTTGCAGGGGCTGCAACTTGACAGATATTTCCATTGTGGAGAATTGTCGGAATCTGCAGATATTTTCTGCCAGGTAAGCAGTAAGCTTTTTCGAACAAGATACGCGTTACGCATTCACTTTTTATTTATTTATTGAACCGTCGTAAAAAAAATATTTCTGTTCGACAGCTATCGGAGAAAACGTTTTCACAACATTTTCATACTTTTATGATTTATCGTTGATTTTGGTGAGTTATCGGTTTATCTTTGGCTTTGATGATTTTTTTGGCTTTTATCGTTATATTTGGTGAATTACCTGTTTACGATTAGTAGTGATGATTTTTTTAGCATTTATGATATTATCCTTAATTTTAGTGCAATATCGGTTTGTCATTAACGAATAATCTTGATTCATTCTGTAGCTTTCATTGTTAATTTTGTGGTTTTATTTTGTGGTCTGTGTAAGCATGCCTGAAGTGTTCACATGATCGTATCCGATCCCGTTGATTATATATATTTTTGATACGTCGACAATCACTGCAAATAGTTTGTGTAAGACACAATTTGCGCAACGAACGTCAACATTGGTGTAATGCGATCCGTTTGACTTTACTGCGGCATGTGGATGTTGAGTATTTGATTGTTTTCCTTGCTGCAGCTGTAATGAGATTGTGACGCTGCGCGAACTGTCGGCGTGCGTCCATCTGCAGGAGCTGTATGTGCGCGAGAACCAGATTGCGGACTTGGACGAGGTCGTTAACCTCAAGCGGCTGCCCAAGCTGCGCGTGCTGTGGTTGGCCGGCAATCCGTGCTGCAGCGTCTTCGCCAACGATGAGGACAAGTATCGATTGTGGGTCCTGGCGCATCTGCCGTATCTGGAGCGGCTGGATAATACAGGTAAAAAGGAAGAGCGTAATTTAATTAGGTCGTGTTTTTTCGCCCCGGGGCCTATCTGGTTTCTGTTTCGAAAATCATTCGAGTTGGCATTGGTTTCCATGTTTTTGGAAACTTGATTCAGACCGACGGTGCAAAATAGCAAAATTTAACAGCCTTGAACCTTTTGATGGAAAATCAATTTTGGACTGGTTATTGTTCTGATGATTTTTTATTAACCATCTCTTAAGATTGGCAGAGTAAGAGTTAGCGGATTAGATTAAAATGATCGTACAATTTTGCACCTGGTTTTGTGAGATTTTACTGCAATTCTATTTCACTCCGATGGCTTTAATTTGTTTTCTTTAAACAAGCTTCCGCTCGCATTTGCCGAACATTTTTAAACTCTTTGATTTCGGTTTATTGGTTACTCAAATACGGATACGGTAGATTACGTAGCAAGATGTTGGTTGAACGGTTGTTATTTGCCAAAATTGGCGCTGTATATAGTACATTGCAAAACTGGTTTATAATATGGAGAAGACAGAAGTCTCCTTTTACGTGGATAAGGAAAATAATTTCCCTTTAAAACGGACAACCAGACAAGTGGCACGACATCGAAAAACATCTTACGCTGGTGAACCGCGTGGGTTAGCGGTAATTGGGGCAACACACCGCGAACCTATCCGCTGGGTCGATGTTGCATTGGCTGTTGGCTGGGCAGGGTTTTCCTCCGCGTCCGCAGTTCAGGTTCTGTCCGCTGGCATCTTTAAGGGGCTGTCCTTTGGGGCATATCTTGCCGCACTTTGCTTATTGGCGTGACAATGGTCGAAACTGCTGAGAGTCAACAGGAGAACAATACATAATGCGGGATACACGCAGGCCATGATGAATTATAGTTTGAGTACTTTATACACATAAATTAGCGCCAGGAAACGTAAAATTTGCTACTGCGGGCTCAAGTGCAAGCGTGCACAGCGTTTTATACGAGAATTTTGCCGACAGATCACAACAACTTACGGATATGCGGTTGCCTAAACTTGATTTTTATCGCTGCCGTACAGTATTTGTTTTCGTTTTCATGGAAAAATCCGGATATGTGTGTACGAGTTCTTGTTGTTACGGTGTGGTTTTTTTGTGACGTCAGGAAATTGCCACTGAAAATGGGATCGTATTTTGCGCATTGCTAGTTGCTACTGTAGTAACGATACGTACAGACTATTTTTGCTTTTTGTGCTTTTGCTGTCATTGGTCAATGTGTTTTTTATGTGCTATTTTTTGAAATCTTTTTTATAGAACAGCATGCAACGTAACCGGTGTAATATTGGGATTAAAACAGCTAAAATTGACTTTCATGACACGTACTCAGGCGCAATACACTCGTTCACGTCTTGTTTGTTTATTGTTGCTTAGAAGTGCGACCGGATGAGCGTAAACGCGCCGCCAGCATTGATCCCAACCATTTACTGTTGATGTTCAGCGATGCGGATCCCCGAGCGCCCGTTACACCGGCTGCTGCCACACCGCAGAAGACCCCGGCCAATCCGGCGTCCGGCCTCAGGCAACAACGGCCACACACAGACCCGCTCACCGCCGCGATCATCGGGCAAGAACGGTTTGGACATGGCCGGCCATCTGACACCCGGTGGTCAGGGACAGGGTGATGGGCGCAGTAGTGCGACGCATACGGTGCCCTCGACGCCGTCGGATATGACCATCAGTGCTCCGTCGTCCAGGTCGGTTGGTACTTACAGAGCATCGTAATAAGCGGGAGTCACGAATTGTTACTGCCCGTGATAACTAAAAGTGATTTAAAAATTAAATATGTACAGTAACTCTGCGTTTGTTTTCGTAGTTCATTAATCTCGTAATTCATCAGCTAATTTACTTTCAGTTGGGACTTTTAAAGGATGCGTAAGTTATTTTGTCAAGGTTTTGAAGTATGGTAATGATGTTATTTTTTCCCGCAGATCCGGAGTTAACGATGCCACGCCGCTGAGTAAACGCCCCTCGCGTTTGGAATCTCCCGCGTCGACGCTCTCCATGTCTCCATCGGGCGTGAGTAATTCCCGTAAAGCCCAGGTAATGCAGACGCCGGTGGAAGCACCGAAGAGCATTGTGGCCGCCTCACCACCCCATCGGATCGACATACCGCGTATCTATTCCGCGGTGAATACCACCGCCCCCACCAGCCCCTTTCCCCGGAGTAACGCCAACCAGATGATTATGGATGATGGTGTGGAATCGGACCAGAATAGGTATGTGTACCGGCTTTGCTGAAATTTGATTAGAATTATTTCTAGCATTCTCGGCTGACGTTCGCGCGGCTTTGGTAAAAAGCGAGAACCGACATTACGGGATTCCCAATAAAAAGTTCTGCTGTTTCATGATATTTGTACTGTTTGTGATTTGCGCGTTGTATTATCGTCACTGGTTAACTTCAGAAAACAGATGTTTTGGTCAGAGCCGTTCTACTACGATCTTGGTTGTATTATTGGGAAGAAGCCACTATTAAAAGCAATAAGAGTATTTATTGACACACTAAACAAGCATCTTGTCCGTTAACAAGCGATAAAATTTGACTGATATCCTTCCTGTGCAAACTGTTACGCTTTTTGCGTCACTTAGTACTTGTCACACTGGAAATTAATTGTATTAACATTTTGTTTGATTGTTACAGTGAAAATGGTTTGTCTCGATTGCAGGTCCATGTCGTCAACACATTCGAAATTACGGGTACGTCAAGTTAAAAGGGCCAACACTAATTTGCAGTTTCACGAGTTACTTGTTTATCTATGCGTTTTTTGTACACGTTTATTGTTGTTACATTGCAGAATGTGAATATTCTCAGTGCGACGTTGAATCTCGTGAAGGAGTTGGATGCGGACAGTCTGCAGATCCTGCAGCTGGACATCAACAACCGGCTAAACGATCTGGACTCGCGATCTTCGGCTGATTAGCCCGGCGTGCAGTGTGTTTTGTGGTGTTTTCAGTTTTCTTAGCCTGTCGATTCTTTTACCTCTTTTACAGTGTCATGGTGTTTTTTTGCAACATTGATGGTTTAAGGCTTCCGGTGTGCTGCGGTGGCATACGAGTGATGTTTGCAAAGCGAAGAACGTACAAATATTCTTACTTTACTAAGTTTGCTTTAAATTTTATTAACTGAAATCTCTAAAATTGCAGTGTGAATGCTACTGCTGTTTTTTGCACTTTTGTTTCTCTCTAAAGGCGCTCCTCGTTTTGCTTTCCTGATTACTGATCTGAATTTGGCTGGTTTGTAACTTTTCTGTGGTTTTGTAATTTTCCGTGGTCTTGCCGGTTTGATGGTTTTCTTTGTTATTGATGCAGTAAAATTTGTAACAAGATGTTTGCGATGAAAAACATGACCGCCCAATTTCACGGCAGAAAAGGAGAATTTTAACTTTAAGGGCTGTTTGGTGAACTGCTGCCTAAAGCCTACTCATATAAAAAACCTCTTGTTTTTAACCTTTCGAAATTTAGTTAAATCAACGTTCATGTAGATCCAGTGCATCCGCCGCCATCCGGATTATGGTTTTTCGACGCTGTATCAAGTTATCAGTGATCTTTTTTAAGCCCCAATAAAATATGGTTAAAATTTTGAATTACCATTCGCGGATTTTATTATTAATACTTTTCCCAATAAAATACGTTCTGAAGAAGATATAGTAAAGTCTTCACATCCGTATTAAGGAAAACGCCAGTTACTCTATCTGTAGAACTGAGAAAAGAAAATGTTTTTGTGTGAAGTTTTGAACCAAGTTGCTTTTGAGCGGATGCAGCATCCGCCCATGGTGCGGCTCGCTTTTGTTTGCAGTCAACTGTTCCGCCACTTTGCCGGCGAATCCGAGTGTGCCACGCCATTAACCGCATAGCCTCTTTAAATCGCAACACTCGTTCTGTACTTGCATCTGTATGTTTCCCGTTTACCTAAACGTACTGCGATCAGCTGAAATTTCATTTTAAAAAAAACATTTTCAGATTTGATAGCATTTAAGTTTTTATAGATCATTGTACACAGAGTTGGTATCTTACGGTACGCGTGGGGCTGCGCCGGTTCGGAATGGATGGTCTTAAATGCCAGTCTAAACGTCAAGTACGGACTACAGAATTCCTCATAATTTTTTTTCAACTTTTTTCTGTCCGATTATGCAGATTCTCTGTGAGATCCTGAATTTCGTCATAACGGGGACGACAATTCTGATGTTTTGGAAGGGATTAATGGTCTTTACGAACTGTACCAGTCCCCTTCTCGTTGTCTTAAGGTAAGTATAATACTGTACTTCTAGTTTAAGTTTCTGTCTTACGTCTTACCGGCATATATAACTACCGAAAAAGTAGTTTTATTCTGCATATTGCCTTTCCTCCACGTTGAGTTTAGCCATTTTTGTTGAAGTACAATTTTTTCGGTATCGTATTTGATTCACATGTAAAACAGTAACTGCTATAAATTTAAATGTACAACCATTATCAATTTCGAAGAGCAGCGACAACTGCCTTTCCCGCGGCGATATTGCGTTTCTGGTGAATCATTCACCGGACTCGATTAAGGTTGGGGACGTTATTGTTTTCACACTGGAAGGACGCGATATTCCAATTGTACACCGCGTTATGCAACTACACAACGAGTAGGTACAAGTACACAATTATTGTCCCATTTTGTACATGTGGTGCAGATTTTCTTTTAGCTACTCCGGTGGTTACTTACTAAACTAATTCATTAAGTAAGTACAGATAAGTAAACCATTAAAACCCACTTCACTGTACAAAGGCCAGTGTTTTACCGTCCCATAGTTTTATTCGCTTTTTGCTCATTAGCAAATGAAACCTTATTTCTTTTAGTGGTCAATTTGTGTTAAAATACTAGTTGAATGATCGCTTTAATTGTTTTAGATAAATTTGAACTCATCCAAACGGTTGGTTCTACCTTTTTTACGAAAGAATGTTAAAATTTAGATTTGAAAATTTTAAGACGTACTTCTAAGAAATTGTCCTTGATGTAGGGAAGATGATAAAGTTGCTATTGTTCGTAGCGGTGAAGGGGACATAAAGTTTCTTACGAAAGGTGACGAAAACTGGGTGGACGATCGAGGCTTGTATCCACAGGGACAAATGTGGCTGCAGCCGAAGGATGTTGTCGGCCGAGTGGTCGGGCAAGTGACACGCTATATTCTATAATATATTTATAATTATATTTTACGTTACCGTTAAGTGTTTTTGTCAAAATCGAGGAAGATCTTTAATGCATTACTTGGGGATCTAGAAATTAATGTATAAGTGATAAAATAAACTTACATGCGTACTCGATAAAGTAATCGAACGTCTCACGCTCTGCAGATATATTCCTTCCGTTGGAACAATATTAATCAAGATAAATGAGTATCCCAAAATGCAGGTATGTATTTAATATGTTTCCGTATACATTTATTAAACTAATTTTGAGCTATCTCCAGTTGCATCCTGCCGTCTTAAAAAAATTTACGAAGATCGTGCTGTTCTTGCAGTTCATCCTGCTGATTGTGCTTGCCGGACATGCGATATTACACCGGAAAGGTTGATGACGTGTTATGGAGGTCTTTCCTTTCCTTTATTGATGTGCGCATGTCCTTCTTTTATTTAGGTCATTGGAACCATTATTTTCTGGTTTGGTTAATCCTAGCGGCTGTGGTGATGAAAGTTGGTTATTAACAATTTTCAGACTGATAGAAAAAGGTCAGTATTACCGCTGCATCGAAATTTGTTAAAAGCTAGTTTACGGCATATGCACTGGAGTGCACTGCACATTTTGTGGTAGGTACTCCGTACTCGTACTGTAATTGTACGATGACGTATAAGTCATTTTTGCTGTGAATATTTTTCAGGATAATTAAATACACCGATGACCTTTTTTCGCGATTCATATGACGCTGGAGCTTAAACGTATAACTATGCCGATCAATATACGGTAACTTGCGCAAGGCTATTCCATACAGGTTAACACTTGCAGAATGACGTCGTGGTTCCGGATAGAAAAAAAGAGCAAATTTGGCCAATTAAAAGATCCACAAGGGGAAAGCGGACCGCAAAGGCGACTCAGCAGGCTGTTCATCAGCCTGCTCGATCTCTGTATTTGGAAACTGGCTCTTTGCATTTTGTCTAGCTGATTACGTAGTTTAGTCTGTATTTTGCCATTAATTTTACTTTGTTTTATCGAAGCTTGATTTTCTGTTTTAAAATTTTATAAGAGAATAAAAGCACTCCTTCTTGCACGTTGCTAACTCGAAAGCGCTAACTATAAGTATAGTATACAAATATCTGTAAACGTATTTAATTTTGTTTGAAACGAACTACTGGTATTTATTTTCGAAATGGAGTACGTGTTATATTAGGGGCGGTCGGATAAAATTGATTAGCCGGCAAAGAACCGGTCTTAATTAGAAACTAACCAGCCATTACGCTATACGGAGCTATACGTACATGAGAGTACTTTTTTATTCTTATGGCTTCTTCGTACACCTACTTCGCCAGTGAAGTGGAAAATGAAAAGTTAGATTCGTAAATCACTGTGTCAGTAAATTCCCTTTATGTACTGTATATGTGAGAAATTTATTAAGTTGAGTCACCAATGGTTTACGAATAAAAATTGTAAAAAGGATATAGCGGTAACTATATGCGAAGCGCTCTGTAAAAGCGCTTTTTCTATGGCAATATATTTGAACCAGTAAAATAGCTAGGTGGCAAAAATGGATAGCTATGGAATATGGACATTGCTAAAATAATGGATACGCACAGAAACACTGATTGTCATACGACATACATTTTGTACTAATACCTCATGATACCGTTTAGCTTGTCTGAACATATCCCGCGGCCAGGTGTTCGGTGATCAAATTAACAGTATCATTAACGGTCAGCAAGAATTTTGTGTTGCTCCCGGGCTACACATGCGTGTTTTATTTATGACAAAAATTGCATTACAACTTGATAACGAGGATATATTATTGGAAGTTAATCTGCACCAGAGGGCATTAAAGGGGACGGCATGGATAACGATTCCGATGTTTTATTGCCTATAACTTTCAAAAATCATATGATTTTCCGCTTTTTAGTTTGCGAAATGTACTAATATCACCGATCAATCATAAGTTAAGTATAAAAACCGGTGAAGCAGTACACCGATAAATTTTAAATTTTAAGATTCTCCTGTCGAATTAGCGAACAGTGTTTGCTGTTCAGAGCCCTGCCAATCCTTAATTTGAAAGCCAAAAATTTGTCTCATGGGGGTGGCAGCAGCACTTTTGTTACTTATAAATTTATGACTATAAAAATGAGCGATATTGGCGACATATTTTAGCGCACAATTTGAGCAACTTACTATTAAGAACCAATTTCAGACAAATATACAAAGGTCATCGGTTGGATCAGGTGCACGTGTTGACCGTACAAGCTCATCAACGTACGCGCCCATATAACGTTTAAATATGATCGAAGGTGATCGGCGAAGTGGTACCATTTATTTGCTCGATAGTTGTTTAAAAAATTGTGTTTTCAAACTCTATAAAGGTTGCACTGCAGGAAACATTTATCTGTAAAGCGGTACACGTAGATGCAGTATGCATGCACATCAAAACAATTTAAAACGTGAGGCGTCAATCAATAGGCTGGAAGCGTTGATATGATGTTCATACTCACGAAAATTGCAACTGCTACACAGATATGCGTTTAAGTGTTGTGTAAATTCTGCATTTGCTGTAGAAGTTTGTATACATACAGGCTGTACAAGCATCTGTACAATACATACTTACGATTAGTACTACACTTAATTGTTCCATTATTGCAGCTGCACCGAATATCGGCTTTTCTGAGCATATAAGGGCTTTATTCTCGGTAAAAGCTGCCATCAAAACCGAAACCCGATTCACAATTCTTATTACATTATGAAATATTTATTGCAGTCAGTTGCTTGTTGCTTATACGTGTACGAAAAAAGTGTGCATCTCTTTTGGCACCATAAACCCGTATCAAAATTTCCGGAAGCAGTGGTAATATTATACTCATGCACTACCAAATATGCTCTTCGTACATGGATATTTTCCAGTCTCATGTATACACCCTACCAAGATCACTGTACTTAACAATTTATAGCGACTCGAACAAAGGTTGAATTACTGATGGCAAACGTTTTTGAAGAGCACAAAGATGTCGGCTGTTGGGTGGCCATTACGGAGAATCTGTCCCGAATTCATCCATGTGTCGGGCAAAACGTTTCGTCTTTGCTGTACCACATGGGTCAACACCAACCGAGCGAATATGCAATGCTCGTGGGATTTCCGCTGCTGCTTACCATCGGCCTGATTACGAATACTCTATATGTTATATTCGTTTTATCCGGGCAGAAGGAATCTACTAAAACGGTGTACCTCACTGTACTGGCTATCTCTGGGAGTTTTCTTCTGTATGCATAATTTCTTAACGTATGGTACTGCATTGTTACTGATGCGTTACTCATATCGTATGTTTATTTCTGTAGATTGTTCGAAGTACCACGATTCGTTCATGTCAGTCTCCCGACGGCCGCAGTCCGGCCGCATTTTGCATCCTTTATGACGCACAGTGTGGGATTGCAACTTTTTGGAGAATGTTCGTTTATGCTCATTTCCAATTGGTAAGCAGTGAGTTTTAAAATAGAATCAGACCACGAGATAAATTACTCATTGGACCGTGAGTTAAATTTTAGGTGACCCCTCCGTACACTATCTTTCACTCCGCGCACTACTTTTTGCACTACCTTTCATTCGGTACACCACCTTTGCTAGCACTACCTTTGACTCCGTACACTAACGCTCGGCACAACCGTTATTTGCGTGCACGTCCTTTTATTTTTTGAATATTTTCACATTAAAGTTACTTTCGGAACTGCCGTTTTTTTCGTTAACAGCTGTCATTCCTGTGTATTTCAAAGCATCACCAGCAGTTATAAAATCGAATTCCCATGAGTAAGTAACTCTCGGCGCTCGTGTGCCGGTTTTTCTTCGCCCAGTTTTGGACAGTGCCGTTTTTGAACGAATTTTTGACCAGGTCAGTTTCGCAAACTCTCTGTGTAAGAAATTGCCGCTGGGTCTTTTCCATACAAAGGGAATATCTCCCGCGAACGCCAGCGCGTACTACCGATAACGTAACGATCGTTTTTTGAGCGGCAACTTTCTTCACCCTGATTTCAGTAAGATCTTCGCCGTAATTACTTGTATATTTTGATTTTCGAGTGTGGTAGAGTACCGAGTGAAAGAAAGTGTCAAAGGTAGTTTATCGTAAGAAAGATAGTGCCCAAAATGGTAGTGCACGGAATGAAAGGTTATGCAAAAGGTAGTGTATAGAGTAAAATATAGGGAAAGGTGGTTTAGGTGAGTGGTCACCTAAATTTTAAATCTTCTTAATAAATATGAATTCTAGGACGGTTATTGCATTTTCTTTGGAAAGGATTATCGTCATTTCCAATCCCGTCCGTTTTCATCGCGGTGTGCGGAAGAAATATGCCGTCATTGTCATTACCATCATCACTGCCATTGCTTTGGGCTTATCCATCGCTAGCACTTATTTGTATTACAAGTCAATCTGGGGAACTGGACTGATGGATGATAACCTCTGCATCGCAAAAAGCTACCGCTTGGAGCTGGGAGAGGTTCTCAGCCTAAGCAAAATGCTGTTTTTCATGCAGGTATTGCACCTACGCTAAATGCAGCAGTTTCATCAACTATAGTGTACATACACATATAGACAAATTTTTTTATATTTTTTGCTATTTCGTTAACGTACCCACACTATATATGCTTCGTTTTTCGTCAGGGTTTGTTCGCCACCGTTCTTGTGCCGCTGATAACCTTTATATTCATGATCATCTCCACCACCATTTTACTAATTCTGCTTGTACGAGCGCGAGCTCGGAAAAAGGATCTGCAGAATGGGCAAAAAGTCGATATCCGCTGGTCAGCACAACTGTCCAGCGACGGAACTCGGGCGCTTCTGCGGACCTTGGCTGGCTATTTCATCACGCAGGCGCCGCGGGTCGTCTTTCTCAGCTACCGTGCAACATCCGCTCTGCGCAACTGCTACGCCTTGTTGGCTATCAATATGCTAATGCAAAACCGCGCTGCTCCAGTAATCCATGTTCTGTTTCTGGTCAATTACGCTGTGACCTTTCTGTATCATAGTAATCTCATCAAGGATTTCAAAAAACGCTGGCGCGAGAGAAAAGAGAAAAATAAAACTAAAACTTAGCAATATTCTTGACCTGTTTACCTGGAATTTCTTTTGACTGTACAGAAAATTTTGGACGTTTGCCTGTACCTGTATGTGTATTTATTACACACCGGGCAGTATTTGTATTGTGGAGGTTGCGCAAACAAGCGTGCTACGCAGAGCAGTTGTTTAATTTGGAGCGGTCTGAGAAATTTGGCTTTACAATTCATTAAAATGTAAAGATTTTTCTGTAATTTGTCTAACCAAAAGTCCGTGCGCGGCAGTAGTGGGCTGCTTCACATCCGTTAATTAGGCGTTATTTTCTAAGTATTTGCATGCAACTTTCAATGATCTAACCTAGGCTCTTTTGTTGTCGAGCATTCTTTCCGTTACTCAAAGAGATACAAAGTGCCAGAACACCATTACCAGTGGCAGTATGCTCTGTATCATTATGCAAGCTTATCAGCGAAAAGAATCGAAATGCAACCGGTAGCAACCGTCAAACAGTGCAACGACGTTTATTTTAATGTGATAGCTGGTTCGCAATTCTGACTTCGAGAGATTATTATTACCTTTGCTGCCTGGATGATCTGAAGGATAATTTCAATACTGCAGCACAGGAGAAATCACGGCTTGTCAATACTTACTAATTACTATTTCAGTAGCCAGTCGGTCAAACTTGAGAATAGCATGGACCAGACTAGTATGGACAGCAACCAAGACGGTGCCTGCGGGAACCCGGTATTGGTTGATGGAGAAGTTCCATCCAGTCGTTCGTTCTTAACGGGAGATATCGTCATGACCTTAGAGCCATGGATCTGGGCTATGTCGAGCTTGGCGGCTTACAAAGTCCACTGTGCCTACTGTTTTTCCGTCGGCAAGAAACTGCTAGTGTGCTCAGAATGTAAGCTGCATCAGTACTGCAGCAAGTTTTGTCAGGTAACCTCCTAACATTAAAGATTGTCCTTTAAATTCGTAGGCTTTTCGTAAATTTATCTGCACGTAGCAAAATACGCACGTCTGAAGGGATCTCTTGCAGACAGCCGACTGGAAAGCGGAGCATAAGAAGGATTGCGCCGGTATCAAAGTAGTGATTAAATTCCACAAATCAGAGACTGATCATAAAGAGACTGCTACTAATGGCTGTTATGACACATTCCCTTGCTGTACCGTCATGATCGCCAAGATGGTGCGGAGAATCCAGGTATTCGATGTACCTACAATCTACTAAACCTCTAAGCCGGTTGCAAAACGTGCGTAAAAGGACTGCGATAAGCAGTGTATTTGTACCGGAGTGTGGCATCAGTACTTATACATCTTCAGGAAATTGGAACCTGGGGTTGGTGAATTGTTCAAAACATATAGCGCCCCTTCGTAAATGATCGCTCGATGAGAAAAGTTCAATTACAGCACATAAACAATACTGATTGCAGCTAAATGTGGTAGAAGCGCTGCCTGGGTTGGAAAAAATGTCAGCCAGCGATGTTCTGAGTCTGTTCCCCGAAAGTCCTAACACCAAGGTCGCCTCTACGAAGAACGAAGCTCTGTAAGCTACTTCTGAGTCTGTACAAGTGCAGTACAACATTAATTAAATTTCATAACAGGTAATTCTGTATTCAACCAACTCAAACTGTGCTACCTAGTTGCGGCCTGCGTTCACTGAGCAACTTGTTGACAGGCTCTTTATATTGCCGGGTAATACGGGGATCTTCATGGTGACCGATGCTCATAGTGAGAGAAAAATGGTTCACGATTTGGCGACTATGCTCGGCACGACACCAACGGACTTCTTGAAATATATGAAAATTATTTGTCACAATAACTTTTTCATGGTGGACAAAGTCAGACCACATCGGCCGGACGTCATTGCTCTCTTCCCTCAAGCGCCGCGTTACGCCATGACCCCGGTATGCTGGGACGTCAATGTGACTATGCATGTACAAGGAAGGCACATGGCTATTATTGCTACCGAGGATATTCCCAGCTATACGGGCCTCCATGATGTATGGTTTGTTATTAGGGACGCCATTTAAATTAGGGACGCGCTTTTTTCAACCGGCGCAGCAGCATGTATGCTATGCATTCCGAGTGACCGCGCGCAGCATAGTAATAAACACAAAAGTATTGTTTGCACCACAGTGACATGGTGCCATGGCCATGGTGACACTGTTCCGTGTGGAAAGTCGTACGGCGAAATATGTGCGCATCCCTAATTCGATTACCTGGATTGTGTATCTGTAGCTTCGTTGCAACGAATATGGGCCCAGACCCCGGAATGATCCGTACACTATGACGCGAGAACAACGCCGTGACCTTTTGAACTGCAGTACCAACGTCCTTGCGAATGCGGGAAATGCACAGCAAACTACGTTAGTATTTACTAGTAGTCATAACTGTTTTAGGTATCTTGTTTTTATGCCATTTAAATGTGTTTTCAATTTGCTCCAGGAAGCGGAAATTAACCCGATAAAGTGCGCCACCGCTGGATGCAGCGAGCGACTTCCCAGTGATGAACGAGCGCTAGAACCTTGTCCACAATGCGGCGCACTGAATATTGAGCGGCTGGAGCTGTATCGTAGTTTCGCAACAAGATACGAGAAGATTCGCAATCCAGAAGCACCCGAGGTCACCCGGCTATCCCACGAGATGGATGCTGCTGGTATCCTTCATCCCGATGCACATCTGCGTTATGTCTGTGGTTGGCACCGAGCGCGTCAGTACGCGGACAACAAGCGTCGCTTAGAAGAAGGCTGGAAAATGCTGCAGGATTTCAGCGCTTGTATTCGGTAAATGCAGTGATCGACCAAATTGAAATAACAAGCCAACTTTAATAGAATAAGTATATTTTAGTAACATTTATCCGAAATACAATACTGATCGCGCGTATAACTTGGAATGGATAGCGGCAGCAGCTGAGAATGTTCTATCGAATAAAACCAACCATGCAAACGTTCGTTCAGCGCATCGCGATCAAAAACTCAGAATGGAATCCGATTTTGTGGACACTCTCGACAAGATGCACGGGTGCCACATGGAAACGGCTCATATCCTGGGTAAGATTGCCCCGGACTCTGAATCGGCTAAAAATGCCGCTGCAAGGTTGGAGACCGAGACGTGGTTCGATTTCGAGAAAGAATCAACTCCTGAAAACGATGCTATGGCCCAAAACCAGCTTAATGAAGATGGGAAGGATAACCTCGGATAGTACTCGTACGTAATGTAGCAGTTGGGCCGACTTGAATTAGTTAACGAACAGTTTTATTGGTTTTTAACCAGTACTTGTGAAAGTGTTATACAGTAACTCCTGATGTACGTACTGTAAATATGTAGTTCATAAACCACTACTTTCTGCTACGCGACAAGGCGTTATTGCCTTTTCATTGGAAAGGATTGTTTGTTATAACCAATTTCCAATCTCATTCGTTTTCCTCACGGTGTGTCGTCAAATATACCGTCCTTGTCATATAACTTACTAGCGGTGGTTGTTAACCACATTATTGCACGAGCGCGAGCGCCAATACCATTGGGTAATGGTATTGGGTTTGTGGAATTGGAAAAGCGTGACGTACGCTCTTCGTGGCGTCAGACAAATTGATGCTCTTGACGAAGGCTTATTGCAACACCTCGCGCTTCGCGCTCGGTGCAAAAAAGTGGCAGTGCACAACTGGGATGTAGCTATTTTTGATGGAAAGTTCAATATTATCAAGCTATGCAACAAATAAACTGGAATAAAACACTACGGTTGTCTGCTTCATATCCGTTCATTAGGCGTCATCTTCTTAGTATTTGCATGCAACTTGTATAGTCTAAAGTAGTAGGTGGGATAACATACAGCTCCTAGTGGTCATCTAGCGGAGTTGTGATTACATACAGCTGCTAGTGGTCATCTAGCGGAGTTGTGACAATAGTAGCCAACTCGGTATTTTGACCGGGTGGAGGGAAGAAGAGCCCGGGGGGGGGTGTTTGTGTAATGTTCTGTCACGTGTAATGTAAGTAACTACTGCTCGTGATACTGTTCGAGTGGACCGTAAAGTTATCGAAACACAACGTTAGGAAACAGGACCGTCTTGAGTTTTATTCAGCAAGCTTGATTATAAAAATATGTGTAACTACGGCAACAAAGTTTTCGGTAGCGACAACTTTTTGCGTTTTACATAGTACTCTGGGGCAACCGCTGTAAAGTCAGCTCCATAACCATAATCTAGCCGATGGAAACGTTTACCGCTGAACTCCATACTGGCAACCACACCGATCGGTTGTTCTGCTGGCCACTTCATCAGTTTGGCATACGCTGTAAAAGAGAACTGGAACATACATGTAGAAACTTGCACGAGCAGTAATGTATATTCAGTATATGTACAAGCCTGTCGACAAATTGAGCATGTCTAAAACCAAAAGAATGACGAATATGTAATTTACTCGCTATAATTACGTATTCGTTTCCTAATATTATGTACACAACAATATAATGGTGCAGTATACTCAATAAAGCGACAGTAGCAAAAGAATGATAGGAATTTACGGGTTACGCATAAAAGTTCATACTCTGGCGCGTTATCCAATAATTTTAAACACACCTGATATTTTCATGAAAAAGCAAAATAATTTCCTAGCGAAAGGTAGCTAGAAAACTGCCGATGGAGTAAGCACAATGAGACTGCGGTGTGTATCTGTGTAAAGCGATAAACTTAGTGTACGAACCATTATTTAAGCGTCAAACTAGTACTAATACCGCTCTACCTGTGCCTTTACATGGTCAGTTTGTCAATCAGCTGGTGCATCATACAACAATTTAATAATGGTAACGTGCACTGCGTCATACCTCCATAACGACTCGTATTATACTCGTACTTGTAGCACCCAAGTCCGGCTTCGTTGACGAGTATGGCACACAGGATTTCGGGCGCTTCGACCGAATGCGACGTCTCAGCAGTTTGCAGTGCGTGTGGAGCTCCAATTCCCGACGTGTAAACTCAACGCATTCACGATCTTGGATACCCATGATACAGTAACAGAAAACTGTTCTGGATGCCAAAAACATCGTAACCACTCACATGCAAACTCGAAGGTTACAACCTGTGCACAACAAACAAAAAAAAGATGACTTATTAAGGAATGGATGTGGTTAATCAGTTCATGATTTGTACCCGTACATTTGTTTGCGTATCATACGTATTCATCTGAATTGGTTTTGACCAGCCGTCGAGAGTCGGCTCATGATGTAGCTGTGTGCATTTATTCACCAGTTTCAACTGTTCCACAAATTGACACCAGTCTTAAGCGAAACAGCTGCCGCTGCTATTATAGTGATAGGCGACTACGAATAGAAGAACAAAATCAGTGAAATTCTCTGGAGTTAGCAGGATAGTGACAGTAACCTTTACTAAAACGGAATTTAATTTCATGGTCCAGCCATGAAATAAAAAATGCAGCATGTCTATAAATCGCCAGCACTGGGTTCGAACAGAAGTGCACACGGGTTCTGACACTTTAATTAAGGTAACAGAGCAACATACCGTTGTTCAGAACGACAGAGAGCGTATAGTGCCAGGAGCTTCCGGCCATGTAGTAAAAGGGCACGATCACCAGACTGGCCCTCATGATCTGGTTTAATGCTTCCGGATCACTCAGCTTTGCGTCTCCGATCATATCGTCGAGCTTACCGGGCATTTCGGCCAGACCACCCAGATGCTTTATAGCATTTACACCGAAATACACGACCGTATTTGTACTGTTTGTTGTCCCCACGATGACACAGCAAATGATCATGTCGATATGCTCGACATATATTGGAGGAAAAAGCGGCTTAAAACAGTTGGTAAAGATGTGGCATATCTCCAGTGCCCTTTTACGACTGTATTCTCTTTTGTATGTTACGAAACATTTTTCGACGACTTCAGTAACGTTCACGCATACATTTGCGTTACATGCGTACAAATGATGGAATACTTCTACCGCCGAACTGAAAACTGTTTTACACCGATCATTCGATAAGAACTTATTGGTAAAGCAACTTAAAAGTTCTTTTGACTGCGCCATTTTTGTACACCTGATGTTCACAAACAGAATAAAACAAGGAAAAGTTAAATTAGAGAAAATTACAAAAGTTTGTGTGTTTGAATTTAGTGTTGCTTGAGAACGTAACCTTCAAGTAAGATTTTGTTTGTTCACGTTACAGACAACAGAGTACAGTAAGTGCGAAAATCGAAGTATCAAAAGCTAAAAGCTTAACTTACGTTTTATTGTAGAAGTCGAACAGTAGCAAAAAGAAACGTAGCAGCTGTTTACGCACAAGTAATATTACGAGTATAATAATAAAGTAACTAGGAAATACGTACTGCTGTTGTTTGCAGACAGTTTCTTGTTATGTTAGTCCTTCCTGTTCATGTTTGATTAACACCATAATATTCACATGATACAAAAACAAATTCAGGACTTTGTTTACACTTTGCAAAAGTAATAAAACTGCACCATGAGTTATCTTTTTCTGATACTGTTGCCGTTATATTTGTAAATATTATAAAAAATACCGTAAAAGAAGAAATTTTACCAGCATTTTCAGAGAAAGCAAATTGTAAAAGTAAAACCGTAAATCACTTAGCAGTTATTTAACGACGCGGAGGCACTTTCGATGTAATAGCTCTTGGTGCTGTATGGCATACTCTGATGGAAGGCCGCACTTCGATGATGTTGATAAGCGTATTCCGGGATGAGATCTACGAAAATAAAACATAAATGTTTTCATGACAGTAGAAAATAAAGGAAAACATGGAAAATAGAAGAAATATTACTCCTTACCACGCAGGTTCAAGATGCCAATGAGTCGCAGCTCAGGGGGGCCGTTGAGAATACGGGTTGTTAATCGCAGGAGGTTTACCAGTTGGGACTCCATTTGGTGGTGGCGGTTCCCCATCGCAGCCGTCTGATAATACGGTTGCGGTTGTTGAGAAAAGTAGGTGATAGTGTTGTTCGGCGGTGGAGACTCGGGTGAATCAACCAGAAGGGGTGAAACGTTCGGTGTTGGACGTACGTATGTGGGAACTGGGGATTCGGATGACCTTTGTGCTACTGGAGAAAGACTCGAGGAAGACAGGATGGTACTGGGCGACGGCGGGCTGGAAATCGGGGAATATGACTCCATTGCCTCGGCCACCCGAGCCGCGGTTCTCGGGGACCGGTGTACCACTAAGGCCTGGGAAGATGAGGAGGGTATGGCACGAGCCCACTGGGGGATTTCCCAATACGGAGGAAGGCTTAAAGAGCTGAGAACTGGTTGACCACTGTGAAGGACTGGCAGGAGCGGTACGGTGGCGCTGGCTCTTGGTGACACTACGGTTGATGGTACGGCAACTGCTGCTGACATTGGTCTGAATGGACTCACCGTACGGGAAGCTGCTGACGGAGGGAGCCAGGAACGTAGCATTTGGAGGAACTCTTGCGTCAGGTGAAGGTTGGGAGGAGAGGATACGATGGCACCTGATAAACTAACCTCGCGGTGGGGGGCAGTGGGTGGAGACCCCGTGGTGGAATGCAGTAAGGTGTCGGGGGGCGATGGTGGGTCGTACGGCGAACATATGGACGATGAAATGGCGCGTTCCGATTGTCCATGGCAAGGACGGTTAGGACACCGTATAGCGTGAGCAAGACTACTGTATACATCTTGTACTAATGTGCTTAAATTGTTCTAAGAAACAACAAACGGACCGAAGATCTCACCCTCGGTTGATTCTTTATATACCGGGAGAGATAACCGAAACCGATTCATTTTTTGTACGAGATAATCGGTTTTGATTAATTGCACTTGATGTTGCTTAGCACCAGATAATCAAAAACGATTACCCCTAAAAATGAGCCAAAATCCTGGAGGATATAAAAGGTCACCAGAAACAATGACACTTTGTGACCTTTCGTTTTCGCATAAAAGATGGATGAACTAGATGAATTTTTTGCATCGCTTAACAGTACGGTAAATGATCCGCCTTCCTCTGGCAATGCAGGGGGAGGAATTGACTACAATTGGCTGGATAACTTATGCAGTGAAATTAACGAGTCCTTGTGCTCTCAAGAACCTCGTACAGCACTCGCTTTGCCTTCGGCCAACCCGGTTAATCACATCGTTGAAGAATCTACTACCGATTATGGTTGGTTGGATGAATGGATGAAAGAAGTGAACTTATCAAACTTTCCAGAGTTAGGTGAGGCCTGGCAGCAGCAATAAGATAATAAAAAACAGTTTCTTAACACCCAACAGGTAATATTAATTTCAGTAAAAAATATCTAATATTATTAAATCCTTCACAGGCGATTTTTCTACCATCAATTTTGAGTTTTCGGGAGATTCGGATGCACCAGCCGATACCACGGACGGTACGTTTCTGGTCGATCAGAACGGAGGGCAACACAACAATGCTGCAGCAATTCAGCAGCAGAACACCGTGGCAGAATTCTTTCATGAACGTAAGACCCACAATC